TGCTGGTCCTCTGCTGGTTTATACTGGTCCTTTGGTGGTTTATGCTGGTCCTTTGCTGGTTTAAGCTGGTCCTTTTGCTGGTTTGTGCTGGTCCTTTGCTGGTTTATGCTGGTCCTTTGCTGGTTTATGCTGGTCCTTTTGCTGGTTTATGCTGGTCATGTGCTGGCAAAGGACCAGCATAAACCAGCAAAAGGACCAGCTTAAACCAGCATCCCAGCGTCAAAACATACCTAACCAGCATATGCTGTTTTTATCAACAGGGCATTCTGTGAATATTAGCACTGATAAACTAAAAAAGCATTAATATTTATTGTTTTGAGCATTTCTTATTATGGCTTCCTAGACATTTTGCATGTAAATACAGACTGACGGATACGGTGTGTCTTGTATTCATTCACCATTATAATTTTGCTTGCATATTCAAGCAAAAAAATACGTTTAAAACGTATTATAATCACAATTCATCCAATGAAGGTTACTCATTTGGCACAAACAACCATGTAAAAAACGAGTGTACATATTTTACATGTTTGATATCTCCGTGGAGGCAAACCGACAGTTTTGGATTCAGAGTTTCAGATTGAGGGTGACATTTTATTTTTTACATGACGAGGTTGCCCTGATCAGCATCTATAATTCAAGACCTTCTGTTCATGTAAACAGCGATAAGTGTGACTTGCTAATGAAATATTGGGTTTGTTTTCCTGTATTTTGCTGAAAGGATTGATTGCCATATATTGGAAATGGCCGTTTCTAAGAGGATGAAATTGGTGAGCAAAGGGAAAAAGAGTAAAGACGGATACTAAACGCTCTGGTCTGCATTACAGTTCGTACCACACCATGTTTGGCTTTATTTTGTGTATATAATCCTTCAAAAGCTTTGTATTTATATGGTCAAGAGGGACAAATCATGTATAGACTGAAATTAATTGTCTGCCTTGTACTTTCTGATGTAAATGTGTTTTTAAAACTAAACTGCGAACGTGAAAAAAAGAAAAAAAAAATCTTTCAATGGCCTAATCACTACAGTTATTTTGTGTATTTTGCATTGAAATCTGAAGAGCGTTTTGTTTTACCATGCAGAACTACGAAAACCTTTGTACGAGTATTCTCAAAGTATTTTTTCTGTATATATTGTGCTAGCATGAATAAATGTGGTGTGGATTTTAGATGTAAATACACACTTTTTTTTTTCCTACTCACTTAACCGCTGTGACGTGTAATTCATTAATAATGCCTAATATTAAAGATAATGTTTTATCGACTGATATTTGCCTTCCTTTCTTTCTTTGGAATAGAGTGCAAATTCTCAGTATACAGTCAACATTTCTTTCTTTTAATTCAGTTATATTTTCAACATTTTGAAATACCCATAAAGGGCCATTCTGTTGAACACTGCTTCTGCCACTGAATAAAGAAAGAAAAAAAAAGTAATTGACTTTTTGTATCACAATTGACGTTTTGCCTTTTCTTTTCTTCACAGAAATGTAAGATAAACTTCCAATTCTGAGGAAAAAAGGTCATAACTGTGTGATATCCTGCAATTCTGAGTTCATATCATGCAATCATGACCTTTATTTCCTCGCAATTCTGAGTTTAGCATAAATCTTGCATTTTTTTTCTTAAAAAATAAAAATAAAATTCATAAAATATAAAGGTAATTGTGATTTTTTTAATCACATATATTCCGATTTTTTCCTCTCCAATTGTCAGTTTATATCTTGTAATTCTGAATAGTAGAATAGTAAGATGAACTTAAAGGGGTCATATGATGCGATTTCAATTTTTCCTTTCTCTTTGGAGTGTTACAAGCTCTTGGTGCATAAAGAAGATCTGTAAAGTTGCAAAGACTAAAGTGTCAAATCCAAAGAGATACTCTTTATAAGAGAGAACAACAACAACAAAAAGTCGCTCTTAACATTTTTTATTTGGTTGAAACAAGCTTCCATACCATTAAAAAGATCAAATAAGCTAAAATCATAAAGTTTTAAAATCGCTCTAAATTGAACAGAATAAAAACATTCACACAACAGCTATAGCAACACAATATCAAAATCACTTTTGAGCAATTCAGAGCAATTTTTCCAACTGATAAAAAAATGAATGAAATCAGAATCTGACTTTAAACTGCTCAAGCATTTAACATGGCAGATCACGTTTATAACAGATTGTCTAATGGGGCAGAATCTAATATAGGCCTAGTTGTTGACAGTTTTCGCTAAATAGTCTTTCTTGGTGTGAACAGACCTAATAGTAATGAGAACTCAGTTGAAAGTTTCGTTTAATATCTATTCATTATATAGTAACGCTTTCCTGAATGAAGGCTAATGTGGTTTTTATTGTTTGAAGAGCTATAGTAAAATGATTTTGAAGTTGAATTCAGGTGTTTGAAACCAACTACCTATTGCCTTCAGACCGCCACAGTACTTATAATGTGTGGGAAATGTCACAGCCAAAATAGTCTTCTTTTGTAATAGTCTTACTAACATAAACATTAATAGCTCGTTTCGCCCACTCGAATGATTAGTTAGTTAACTGACGCAATAACGTCAACAGATGACAAAGAACTACAAACATGGCGCTGGTGCAACCAACACGTCACCAAGCCCTAAATCGTCACCAAGAGAATTCACCTTCACAACCAATCACAGGCCGCCAACTGGACTCACTCCCTGGATGAGCACTGCACGTCCATTCCGAAAAGAGTGCGTGTTGCGACGTCACGAGCCAGCCAATAGGCGCGCGAAGAGTGGAACGGCAACCAATCAGATGGGAGAGTGGGCGGGACCTTTCAATAGGAAGAGCTGTTGAATCGGTACAGTGCGTGTTTGTCGAGCCGGTATCTTTAATGATCTTTCAAAACCCAGTTTAGCACTTTTTCATAGCGTATTTAAGTAGTTAAACGCGTCTGTTTGGTTTTAGGATGATATATTTAAGTGGGCTTTCTGTGGTACTGGCCCTGGCGCTGGTGCCGAGCTGCACTGAAGCTTTGAAGGATGGAGAGTGCGAAGGTGAGTTTGATTAATATGTTCATAATATAAACATGTGCAGGACACACATTTCCTGTCAAGAGCATCCCACATCTGCGTTTTATCCATCTTCTTTAGTTTATGCTGTATATTTAGTTTACTTCATTATTATTATCAGGTATTTTTCGTGTGTTTCCTTTAACTACTTCAATTATTGCATCAGTAATGATTTTTGTAGGGTTTAAGGTGCTGTTAGGCTAAACGTGTTTTTGTAATAATGTGTGTTTATAATATATGCAAAATTTAAAATGCAATATATTATAAAGTGTTTTATATTAGTGTTTTTAAAGGCAATTATGTAATTTTGTAAATTAGGTTTTCTTTTCAGTAAAATCATACCATACTGTACGCAGTTGATTACATAATGCAGGTTATTATCAATAATAAGCACTTCATCGTATCTAGATGGCACACCTGTTCAAATGACCCTTTGGTCATAATTGCTTATTCTTTTATTTACAAAGGGGTCGATAAAGGAATAATTGACTATACTATGCTATATATTTTCATAAATGTGACTCATTTTATTTAATAGAACTTCTTTGTGTATGATTGTTGCATTGCAGTCTGTGTGGGTTTCCTGGAACGGTTTTACCAGACGCTACAAGACAATGACGTCAAGTTCGACAGTGACTCCATCGAAAAAGCTCTTCTAAAATCTTGCAAAGAGGCCAAAGGAAAAGAAAACCGATTTGTAAGTGTGTGTTTAAAGGGACAGTTCACCCAAAAATGTAAAATGTACTCACCCTCAGTTCATTCAAGATGTAGATGAGTTTATTTCTTCATCAGATTTGGAGAAATGTAGCATTCCATCACTTGTTCACCAGTGGATCCTCTGCAGTGAATGGGTGCCGTCAGAATGAGAGTCCAAACAGCTGATAAAAACATCACAATAATCCACAAGTAATCCACACTACTTCAGTTTATAAGAAACAAATCCATTATTAAGGCATTGTAACTTCAAACCTTCACTTCTGAGCAAAATACTTCTGTCAATAATAACGTTTCCTCCAGTGAAAAATTCCATCTCCTGTTGTCCTCTCACATCAAAACCCACCAACATATTTGTTTAGAGCTGTTCTGGACTGTCTTCACTTGTAAACGGGGCTTGATCTGTGCATGTTTCTCTTCTGATTCAGACGAAACAAGACAAGTATTTAGCCTGAAGCAACATTTTGAAGTTAAAAACGTCTTAAAGGCAGAGTAAGTGATTTCTGGTAGCCAATGTTGATATTTGAAATCATCAAAACAAACACGCCCCTACCCCAAAAGGGTCTTGCCCCTATTTTGATAGCTCCGCCCCACATATACGTACGCAACCCAGGCAACGATTAGTTCTGTGAAACAAAGCAAAACCAATGTTACACCGTGTCTACGGACGTGAGCGGCGCGGCGCAACAGATCCCGACAGAAAACTGCTGCCGGGTTCTATTTATGACGTGCTGACACAAATTTCAAATGGTTTCAACGGTCGTTTGATCGCGTCCGGTGTAGGCAGACTTTAGCTGTTGTAGACCCGGTGTTACTCACCTATTGAGAAGAAACAAAGCAACCTTGGTGTCCGATCGCAGGCCTCGGTCCTTGAGTTCTCTCCGGCGCTGGAAAGCTGATCCGATATTTACACGTGTCCTACTTCTTGCCTTATCGTTCCGCAGACGTTTTCCTCTTTTGTTTTTTATCCGCCATCTCTATCTTTCTGTCGCTCGGCTCGGCTAATGTCCGTCCCATGCACTGAACGCTCTCTCCTCCACATCACGAGTAGACACGCCCCTTATTGCTGATTGGCTACACGTTTGTTTTGCGATTCGGCCCGAATCAGTTTTCTGAAGTGTTTTTGAAAAATCACATACCCTGCCTTTAATGATGAGTTAGTTTCTTACAAACATGTAGTTTTTCACTTCACAAGATGTTAACTGATAGACTGGAGTGGTGTGGATTATTGTGATGTTTTTATCAGCTGTTTGGACTCTTCATTCTGACGGCACCCATTCACTGCAGAGAATCCACTGCTGAACAAAATGCTACATTTCTCCAAATCTGATGAAGAAACAAACTTATATACATCTTGGATGGCCTGAGATAGAGTTCAGCAAATTTTCATTGTCGGCTGAAATATTCCTTTTATCTTCCATAATGTTTTCTTGTTTATACTTACTTTTAATGTGTTGTGTATGTGCAGTGTTATTATATAGGGGCGACAAGTGATGCAGCAACAAAAATAATCAATGAAGTTTCTAAACCGATGAGTAACCATGTGCCAGTGGAAAAGATCTGTGAAAAGCTCAAAAAGAAGGACAGTCAAATCTGTGAACTGAAATATGGTAAGTTGAAAAGTTTGTTTGCATAGAAAAAAAAAAGTTTCCACTGACTAATTTATTGCATCTCTCTAGTGGCTGACCAATATGAATGTATAACTATATCATATCCATTGTTCCGTTTGTTTAAGCATCCTGCCCAGCTCAAGATGACTAATTAATCGATCTGGTCGATATATTGAGTTATATCCACTCTATTTTAAATGGAATTAAAACATTTTTTACATGTATGTTTTAATGTATTATTATTATTTTAAGTGGTTTATTTTTCAAGTCAAATGTGGTGGATCAATGACAGAACTGCAAGTCATTATTATTTTTTTCTCTTCTTCTAGATAAACAAGTTGACTTGAGCTCCGTCGACCTGAAGAAGTTGAAAGTGAAAGATCTGAAGAAAATTTTGGAGGAATGGGGCGAATCCTGCAAAGGATGCGTGGAGAAATCCGACTTCATCCGCAAGATCAATGAGCTAATGCCCAAGTATGCGCCCAACGCGGCCAAGGCACGGACAGATCTGTAAACTCACAGGGAATTATGGGACCAAGGCAGCGGCCAAAGGCATTTAGGGTGGAGGATTTGCGCTGTGCAGCTGGCTGACCACCTAACAGTGGGGTTTGCATTGTGTTGTCATTTTACCATGTACTCCAGGGGTAAACATCAAGAAACCGAATAAATGCACTTCCATGAAAATACAACCTTTAATTTATGACTTGCAATGTGTTAGTTCTGACTAATATCCAACACAACCTGTGTTTGCCTCCTGACGTTATGGGAAGCATGTTTGACACACTGCCTAGTTTAATTTTCATTTTCTGTTCTTTTTTTCTTTTTTTATGAAATATAATGAATGAGAGTCTCGTCTTCAAAATGTGTGGGTCAGTTTGAGTGGACTTTGCTGTAAAATGTTTAATACAGTTATACTGTCTTTTTCATTAAAAGAAGAAAATAAATTGGTCTATCCTTTTTTTGTTGTTTGTTTATTATTTTACTGTTTGAGTTTGTATTTAACATTTTACCTGCTTCATCTTGGTCACTTTTTGTAAAATTTCCTTCAGGGAATTAGAATTCAATTAACTACCAAAATACCTATTTGCCATGGTAATGAAATGATTTATATGGTTATGCAATAGTCTTTGCATGTATTTGTATATCACATTACAGCTTTTGGTACATTAAAGTTCATGCACAGAAATTGGATTGTCATATGAAATTCATATTTTCTTATTCATTATAGTTCATATGTATCATATGATAGTGATTCATGTATTGGCTGTATATATACTATAGTGCGTTTTCTGAATTCATAGAGAACATAGGCCTATTACATTTGCAAAAATGTGTTTATTTCACATATAATTTAAACAAATAGTATTGTGCAGTAGGATAGTAATCCATTTCAAACTAATTCTTATGAAACGAATGATACATTTCGCTCTTAGAACTTAATTTTTATTGTCAATGTTGATTTTCCACAACTATAACGTCACGCGATATGTTCCGACGTCAGTAGTCTCCTCCCACTCGCGGAGCGCGCACATTCCTTTTGTCCAAGATGGCGGAATAGATGTAGCTGAGGGGACGCTAATGTTTGCTGTTTTATGTTTATCTGCGAAATTCAACATCCAGGCGAACGTTTTCCCGTGCAGACGTTAGTTAAGACCCTCCTCACGGATGTGCAAAATCTCCCGGAGCCGTGAGATTTCACCTCTGAGCTGATTTTATATTTTTTTGCGGCGGGAGCATCACTGTAAAATGAAGCGGCAGGCCGAGCGCGACGCGAGTCCGTCCAGAACGCTCGCCAAACGCGTCCGCGAGCGGGACCGAGAGCGCGAACCGAACCCGCCGCTCGCGCTGCTGCTCGCCGAGAGCCGAGCTTATCACAAACGAAGCCGTAGCCGAGAGCGGGAAAAACCGCGCGTCCGTGAGGAGAGAGAGAGTCTGCATCGCCCGCATCATGAACTGGGTCTGCTGGGTCGATCCCCTCTCCGAACCACTTCAGTCCTGCCTAAAGGTAAGACCCCATCCGCAGACACGGTGGGAGTGCGACTAGAATACAAGACACTACTTATCAGCAACCTCGGATCGCAGCTTTCTGATGAACATGTAGAGGACGGACTGTTTCATGAGTTTAAAAAGTTCGGGGATGTGAGCATCAAGCTGTCTCACACGCCAGAACTGGGTCGCATTGCCTACGTCAACTTCAGACTCACGGAAAACGCGCGGGAAGCGCGTCATGCAAAAACCAGATTGGTGCTATATGATCGTCCACTCAAAGTTGAACCCATGTACATGCGGCGTCGCAGTGTCACGCCTCCAGATGTGAGTTATGTGTCTCTACACAGTGCTGCCTACACTTACAGGCAGCGGTCTCTTTCACCGGGCGCTGGGAGTAGTGCCTTTCGAGATATGAGACCCAGGCATTACGTTGAAGGTATGGGACTCAGCAGGGACCGCGTTTTGGACTATTACAGCGCATTGGAGGAGAGAAGCCGTGCGTATGCGTATCAGCTTCCCGAGGAGGACTTAAAACCAGAGGATGATCAGAGAGCCACAAGGAATTTGTTCATTGGCAACTTGGATCATAACATTTCTGAGGTGGAACTACGACAAGGATTTGACAAGTATGGAATTATTGAAGAAGTCATTATTAAGCGACCCGCTCGTGGACAAGGAGGTGCTTATGCTTTTCTTAAATTTCAAAACTTGGATATGGCTCACCGGGCCAAAGTGGCCATGCAGGGACGTATGATTAACGGCAACCCAATTAAGATCGGATACGGAAAGGCCAATCCGACGACTCGGCTATGGGTGGGCGGACTTGGCCCGAATACCTCGCTGGCTGCTTTAGCCCGTGAATTTGATCGCTTTGGGAGTATTCGCACCATAGACTATGTGAAAGGAGATAATTTTGCTTACATTCATTACGAGAGCCTGGATGCAGCCCAGGCTGCTTGTGCGCAAATGCGCGGCTTCCCTCTGGGCGGTCCGAATCGTCGGCTGCGTGTGGATTTTGCTAAAGCTGAGGAGACTAGGGCGTACCCTCAACAATACCAGCCGCCTTTGCTCCCACCTCCACATTACGATCTTCTAGCTGATGGTTACGGACGCCATCACAGCCTGGAGCGAGAACTGAGAGCGAGGGCTCGCTCACCCTCACACCCCCTGTTCGTGGAGCGAGAAAGAGAGCGGCTTTCGGACCGAGACTGGAGTCCGCCTAAAGGAATTGAACGGCGCGCAAACCCGGAGGCATTTGGGCGGGTCAGGCAGCGCAGTCGTAGCCGCAGCAGGGAGCGCTGGGTAAAGGAACGAGAGCTAGAACGCGGGAAAAACTGGGAGGAGCGGCGCAAGCGAAGAAGCCTCAGTCCCGTCGACTGTCCTGCCGAGGAACGCGGGAGGTCAAAGCTCAGAGGCGGAGCACCGTCTACTCCCGAAGACAGCCCGGATAGGGGTTGCGGCCGTCTTCCGGACTCCACCTCAGAACCTCTTGATCACACCCCCGACATCAGCAGACACTCCAGCGACGAACGTCCTGCGCAGGACGAACCTTTGCATCCGAGGAAGGAGGAGCGCGATCGCAATCACCACAAAAGCGAGAGCGACCCTGACTCACAGACGGACAAGTCCAAAACAGACTCCAAAAAGCCCAGCACGCTCTCTGAATACGCCCAGACGTTGAGTCGCGTGTGGCACGGTTCTCTCGTTCTTAAAAACAGCTGCTTCCCCACAAACATGCACATGCTTGAGGGGGGCGTGAACTTTCTCCATGCCCTCATGAAAGACAACCAATCAGGCGGTTCCAAGATCACGCAGCTTAAAATCGCTCAGCGGCTGAGGTTGGATCAGCCCAAACTGGACGAGGTGACGCGACGCATCAAGCTAGGCAGCCCGGATGGCTACGCTGTCCTCCTTGCCGTCCAGGGGCCCATGGACCGCGACGCCCCTCCTCCAGAACCGGGCCTTCAACAGCGCCTTCTCCGCAACCTGGTGACGTACCTCAGGAACAAGCAGGCAGCAGGAGTCATCGGCTTGCCCCTCGGCGGCCCCAAAGAACGAGAGATGGGTGGCATGCTGTATGCCTTTCCTCCATGTGACTTCTCACAGCAGTATCTCCAGACTGCTCTGAAAACTCTTGGGAAACTTGAGGAGGACCACCTGGTCATCGTGGTTGTTAGAGACTCACCTTAACACTTCAATTCCAACTCTAGAACGTTCCACACAGACTTTTATGCCTTTTATGATTTTAGGACGGATGTACCTTTTTACTTTAATACTCCCACACTTGATCAGCGTTTCTTAAAACGTTTTGGAAATTGAATAGCATCCCCAGAGAAGTTGTTTTATAAACTTGCAAATGAGTTTCCGGCCAAGGGGTTTTAAATTTCTCTCAGCAGTGTTCAAAATTTTCTGTTTTATTCTATTTAAAAATGTTTTATATAATTGCATGCACAAGCAATTTGACTGAAGTCCCCTTCCGGTGGTTCGCTATAATGGGCGTAAAACATCCTGGACCTAATTTTTAAAACTCTAATTTGTGTTAATTGCTCAAAAATCCATTCGTCATTGAACTATCGCATTCAGTACACTCATTAAGATCTGTTGATGGAAATTCAAGTATAATAATTTGTTAGTGGCTTTTTACTCCGTAACACATTCGGTAACAGTTTTTCCCTTCCATATTACATCCGCTGTCCGTTTCACAAACCCTAGATGTTTTATTTTGCTTCTCAGAAATAAAACCGTACTTGACATTATGTTGAGTTCAGGTGAGGCGTTTGTGTCATAACTGACGGCATCTACCTCTTTAATCATGTAACACATCAGGTATGCTTGACAAAATGAAGTTAGTCTTTGAGCCCACTGCATTTTTATTGTATTTTGTTACAAATATGCACCTGCAGCACTAACAGAAAGGTCATGTGGCCATACGAGTACTGTACCGATCCAGACACACTAATGTTTGTAAGCTTTACGAACACTACGGTTTAAGCTTGTGTGACTGTTTGTTTGTACGCAGGAATGTATTCTTAAGCCTTAGCTGTTTTTCAACTGCCCTCCACTGAATGACTATTTGCCAAGTCATTTTAACCCATTGAGCCAACACGTTTTAAACAAGTGCTACTCTAAAATGTCCAGTGATTTGAAACTCATAATAATGTATGACACCCAGAAACTAGTGTTATTTTCAGATTTTAGTTAATGATGGAGTTTGAAAGTCCACCCGCCAAGGCGCCAACACTACAACCCTTTGCACTGAACGGTAATTTTCCATTGTTCATTTTTAATGATGTTGTTGTTTTACCCTTCTTTTATCACTCCTTTTTTGTAATACTTTTTTTTCTAGAAATCTGTATGCAAAACATGTATGGCGTATAAAAAAAGTAAACGTTTCATGTGCTTGTTTTTAAATCGTACCACCGTCATTATTTGCAAAACTGCATTCAATGTTCAATGTCAGGATTTTTTATCACCGAGCATAAATCCTGTCTCCATAGTTACCTTTCCATCTCAGTCCTGCCTACAA